TTAACGCTATGCGACCCGATAGCACCACATTAGTGTCGAATATAAATCATCAATATTCATCAATTTTTTTGTATTTTCTAGTTTATGGACTTAAATATTTTGGCAATTGAACGACTTGTGTTGTTCTAATTCTTATAAAAAGTTGGAGATATGTCGTGTTCCTTATTTGGTAGGTTTAGTGTTATCGAATATTTTTTCGGTGGTGAATGTGTTAATGCAGTATCTAATTAAGAAAAAGGTTCTCGAGAGTAACTCGCGATAGTTTTATCAAATGTGTCCGTTTTTCCTTCGTTAATCTCTCGTTACAGTTTTCTTTGTTAGAATGTTAATCGTGAATGTTCACAGTACTCGAAAGACAAAAGGATCACTAGCATTTGCTTGGTATCCCAGGTCAAGATAGACACCACCGAAACGTGAGGGAAATACCGGTAGGTATGCAAAGAGAGAACTGTGACGAAACGTGAAGGTAAAAGTGAAGGTTCAACGGATTGGGTGCCCTGATGAATTATTCAATTGGGTGCAGGGAAAGGATCCAGGATATCTCATATTCTAGGCTAGTAGGAGAGCCGTGAATCGAAACCGGAAGGGGAGGAGAGAGGAAGAACACTTTGCGCAACGTGTGAAAGCGATGTAAGAGATAATCTTATCGATCGTTACTTTGTAATTAGAAATTAATTAACAGGTCTCTGTGATATATCTATTTTTTGTTACGTGTAATAGTATGCCCCACTATTTCACTAGGATATTGCATCTCAGTGAAAGACATTATGAGTTACTTAATTATACAGAATACTTTGAATGAAGTAAATCTTACCCTCTTGCATTGATTGTTTACAATCTTCGACGTTATGAATTAAAAGATGACGCGAATAAACAATTTTGATATTTTAAATTTCAAATGGCAATAGATAGTTCCCTTTTACTTCATTTTTTGAATTTTACACATAAATTAGTAGACGAGATGTTTAACGAATCCAAAACACATGCTGGGCTTGCTAAGCAACTAGCATCTCCGTTTCTATAAACACCTACTTACAAAGGAATTTAAATAAACCTAAAAATTGTTCTCTTCTACATCTATTTACTTTGAAAATCCTCCAAAGAACTTCAAGAATCAGAAAAACGCGGAAGTCACCATTACTGTCCCATGCGACTACAATAAATTTTTTTCCTTTGTTCGATCAGCATCGAGAGATTTAACCAGTTAACTATGTTTGGCGACTATAAACGTCATCTTAAAACTTAAAATGATACTAATTCTTTCAACGATGAATTCTTTATTTTTTTCGGATAAGTATGTAACTCTTCCTTGTTTTGCTTTGGTTTTTCATTAATACATTCATTATTCTGATAATTGATTAAAATATCAATTAACATTTTTTGATTTTATCGCGCAAAACGAGAAATTTTTCAAATAAAATTCTACAGTTAACCGTTTAACACTTTGATGGCTGCACAATTTATGGAGTCGTTTGTAGTGTAAGTGAAATAATTACAGTATATTCATTGAAATAATAGAAACATGTTAGCAACAAAAGCAGTTTTCGACGAAAACACATGATGTGTATTGACATGTACCATCAAACCCGTAACCTGAAAGCATTTTTATACGCTTTCTGAAAATAAGGTTGCGAAGTCACATCTACATAACAGCAGTCATCAAAGTGTTAAGAGTGAACAAGGAGATCCTAAAACTATTAAACGAACGAAACAAGAAAAAAAGAAGTTGCGAGAAAGAGTGAAAGTGGAGTGGGGCGCTAAAGGTACGCTCTCTTGGCACGGCTAAGGCGGATGCTGCAGGGACGTGAGATTCTTGGCAACGGAACCGCTGCCTCCTAACTCGGTACCACCATAAGGATCGCGGTCGTCAGATGTTTATATTCGTGATAGTGCCTCTCTCTGTCCCCAAATAACCGGCCCGATGGCGACCGATTCCCGTGCCGGTACGACATATTGGCCGCCTTCAAATAGCGGCCGCCCTGGTCGTTGAGAGAAAGAAATATCGTCGCGTGTCCGTCGTGTTTTGTACCTACGCGAATATGCTCGCAGTTACCGGCAACTTAATATTGCCCCTTTCGCCTCCGGGACAAATTGACTCTGTGTGTAGCGAGGCAATAGAGACAGCGCGTTTACCGCAATCAGAGGACTTTGAAAATTTTACGAGCGGACCTAGCGCGGTAGGAACGAGATTGCTGCTGCAACAGAACCGTAAACGCGGACGCGGGATATGAATTCGGCGTGACTTTTACTGCCGATTCGAGCATGCACGCGTACCCGCCGCTACTTGTCACGTTATTGTCGGCCGTTCGGCGACGATCGAACCGCAATGTCCAACTTACCGGCGATAACCTCCTTCCATCGGGATTGACGTTGCCCGCGAAAAGTAGAACGCTTGGGAAATATTATGTGAAACAGTACCAGCTTTATCCTGGACAGCACGCATCTATATCTAACCACGTATTGCTCGGACACTTCGTTGGTTTATGTTCTTTCCTGGAAAAGAATGCTTAGGGTAGAAAATGTCAGCTGTTCCGAGTAAAAGGACTGCATTCCTATGCGACGGAGAAGGAAGGGATGCGGATGGGCTTGCACTGACCCATTTAAGGACTTGCGAAACCGCAAAAGTGCACTGAAGACTAAACCGTTTAATTTGTCTTCGAGAGTATTAGCTTCTAGAAGCATTTGTTCGGACTTGCATATTTGAATTGAAGAATGTGTTGTTCGTAAGTTGATAGTGTATTTGAACGCTTGGAAATGTTCTTGTGCATGTAATTTTTGTTGTATTTCTGCAGCCTCTAATCTATTATGCTTAAGGAATTTTGTTAGCACTAAGTAGCTTGGGTATTCTATGAGAAAAGTTATTACTAAGGAATTGTAAAATATTAATTCTACTAATTCTACTACTAGATTAAGCAAGGAATACTTCAATAAAAAATTAACCTATGATATTACAAGTAACTGAGCAACTGCTAAGGCTGACAATATTCTTCCGAATGTTTTTTAATAGAAAATCCTCTTTATTAGATTCTCACTTGTCCACGACTCGATGTATTTGCGTTACAAAAATTTGTGGTGGACAATGAATCCTGTTTATCTCGGGAAATGCTTCACGTGGCTTTCGGCAACGTGATAAATCCTTCCACCGCGGTCAGATACGCGTCACGTGCTATAAATAGGCAAAGGTACGTTCACGCGGGGACGATCGGTTAAAACATTCAAGACATCTTTGTATGGACTCACCGCGGCGCGAAGTAATAATTTCATTACTCGCCAACCAGCTCGGCCGAAGTGGTGAAGGTATTAACGGCAAGCCCCGCATTCTAGACACTTTTGTGAAATGTCCTTAAGTAAAATGCTAGGCTTATTTTGCACGCTGAATCGCTGAACACGTTGATTAAAAATATCGTCTAGATCGAGCGTTTGATAAATCGACTGCTGCGCCGTTTACGCATGTTCCATACAATGTTCGGTGAAATAGTTATTAAAAGTAAACGTTAAACGAAACGAGATCCGTCGAAACAGATAAAATTAATTGAAGAAAATTGAACATCCATATAAAAATTGCTTAATGTAGGTAAATCTAGAAAAATTGTGTAAACAGTTGTATCTTTAACCCCTTGCGCTATGATTTATTTTTCAACTGTGATCGACGAAAGAACTTCGTCAGCAATAATTTAATAAGAAAGAGAATAATTCTATGTTTATTCTATGTGTACGTTTGCCCTACAACATAATAATTGACAACTTTATTGTTTTTTAAATTCTATTTAAAATGTTCACCGCGAGTTTCGCATGTTATTGTAAGACAAAGGGTTAAAGCTTCTACAACCATTCTTTCGAACAGTTTCAAATAAAATGTTGGTTACCACTTTTTAATGCGAGAAAGAAAGTTTCACATTAATATATAGGGTCATAGTCAACATTGAAATCGTTATGTACCATTTTTATTGGCCATTATTTATTATAGTAAAATTATTCTTCGCCGTAATTCCAGAATATTCGAAGTGGTAGACTAATTTCTCTTTTGGCACGGCGATATGTAATTAGGCTTGGCGCCGTAATTGGCGTAAATAATATCCATCGGTGAGTTCGCCAAGTGGGTACTCACGTTGCAAGCCATAAACACATTGTGCACCAGAGACGACGCGTTTAGAACCGCGCGCCGCGCCGTGAAGCCGTAAACTCAACATATCGTCAACGAAACAGGATTACCAACATCTTTCCCTTATCTTCTATCTGTTTCTTCGCCGCCATTCTATCTGTCGTCGGAACACGTAATTAGAATGGAAGCGCACAATGGAATTCTACTTCTAGTTTCTGCAATCATTTTCGTGTGGACTGTCTGCATCGGTTCCTCGAGATTCTTTCGCGTCGATGTTTACATTAAAAAAATGAACAACGCGATATACGACGGAATGTAAAGTGCAACGCGACTGTTCCAGGAATTCAAGAAATCTCCGAGTACGAATCCTTTCTGGCCACCCTTCTACCTAACACGGGGTACTTTGGCATTAAAAATAGCGCCGGAATCTTGGCGTCGTGGAAAGGACATTTTCGTTGCTTTATTTTCGACATGTAGGGAAATACACGTCAACCCTTCTCACTCCACATGCACTGTGATATGAATGATGTTTTCTTAATGGAGAAAGTCGCAAGCGAACTTCATTCATAACATTTTAAAAAGACTGAAAAGTTAGTCTTATAAACAAGTATTTTCGAAAACGTTGGGAAAACTTAGAAATAAAGACGTCAATTCACGAATCAATGTTTTTTGATCTTTTTGAAAATATTTTTTGTTTTAGTAATGAATGATGAATGGTACACTTTTTTAAAACTTTCACTCTGTTGTATTTTTAAACAATTACATCAACGCATGACGGCCACAGTCTAATATTTACATTTGTTTGATTTATATTTTCGTTTACATTTCAATACATTCCCTACGCATTTTCCCTTGATATAAGCTGGATTAAAATCTAGTTATTACAATGAGTACTCACTTTCTTTGATGCTTTCTCTTTTCTATGTTCGGCGAGCCGCAACGTACACTACCGAGGCTAATGGCAGTCTGACATTATCTGGCAGTTGATCCCTTTGCTTCCGTGTCCATTCTGAAACAGAAATCATTAATTTAATTTACATTCTTCTTATTACTTAAAATCAGTCTTAATTAATTCTTAGAAAATGTCAAGAGCTTCATTTGAAAACGAAGGAAATGAATGTAACTTCCAAAAATACGTTAAATATTAACTTTGTTGGGAATTTTGCGTATCCAAATATGATCTTACAATAATCAATGAGTTAATAAAACATTATCGAATTCATTTTATATAACAGTAATATTATAAATTAATATTTTATTGCGTAAGAGATGTCTAATCTATATACAAACAAAATTTCTCAGACCATAATGACATAATTTAAATTTGATTAATATTATTAATATTAGAGGCTTCATTTTAAATTTAATGGCTTAAATTTAAATCATGCTGTATGCTACAGTAGCTGCAATTTGCAATGGAATAATGAAATGACCCGAGCTCCTAACTGCTTTTGCGAAGCTTGTCTGACAAGGGTAGTTAGTACCGGAAAAAGAGAAATATAGCTTCGGCAAAGAGTAGTCGGGAATCTTGGCGCCGGTCATACGACTTCCACTGCTCGATTTTTGCAGCGTATGAGCTGAACATTATGCAATGTTTCTATGAGCTATGATTGTTATTTTCGGATATGTTTTGCCTTGAGGTATATTCTGGGATCTCTGCCGAACGCACGATTTATTTATACAGTTTCATAACAAATCAATCTTTTCAGTAATGTTTTATAAAGACGCAACATTTACTCTAATTTTATGGACACTATGATATTAAACTGATTATTGAACTGACAGATGATTGTTGAATATTCAATTGTTAATATTTGGAAACTAATAGTCAACTTACACGGTGAGCAAAAACTTTTTCATTAATACTTCTGTGGGGAATATAGAAGTTATCGATTGTCATATATTTTTAGGATACTTCGTATTCAGCAATTTATGGTACACAGATTGTAATTGTTCTGGATATTTCATATAATCTACAAGACTTTATGTAATGTACATTTATATCAAATCAATTCAAAGAATATAAAGTTAGTATTCAATATTGTTTGAAATAATTCACGTAGAATAAAATGAGTGTGCGACAGAAGTTAGAATGTTTCTGCAGGAAATAATCAGGAGTTAATGCAGAACTATATAATAATACATATTACACAAACAACATTCTTTCTTCTGAATCAAATTTCCTGTAATAATTCCGCCTCCCTTAAGCACTTCGTTATCTGCTAATGTTCCATAATATGAATGTGTTCAGCTAAGTTCACCAGAATCATCCATGCCAGAATACGTTCTTGTATGTACAGTGAATACATGTGTTTACATCTCGACATTATACACGGTTATCTGTTTCAAGCTAACTCGCGTGCTTGCCCCTGACGCGTCTATCTAATATCGTCCGCCTTAGCGTCGACAGTGCAATTACGGTGCAAATGTGTAGACTACGTATTCACGTACTGACTTTTATGATTCCGCCGATACGATAGGAAAAGAATGAAAAAGTTCATGTAAAAATCAGTCACATCTGAAAATAGAAAATGTGAAAGCAAACCTGTTTCACTGGTTGAAATTGAAATTTCGTTTTCTGTTGATACGTACAAAACTGAAATTTACTGCACATTAAAATTGAAAATTATACAGAGGAATTATTATGTAAATTATCATGTTATCTCATATGTAACTGTGCAGGGAACAGCAGAGTTTATATGTTATTATAAATTAAATAATGTTATCATTTAATTTCTATAGACGTTCTTGAGGTTTTAAATTCATTAGATACGTGGAAATATAAAAATCTGTAAGATCCTCGTTCAATAAAGAATTATTTACAAGGTAAGATGATGAATTTAGAGACAGTGAAATTGGTTAAGATAATTATTAACGACTCAAAACTGCGAGTGTAATTTGTACATCAACCAGAAACACCAGAAACTTAAGTTATAATATTTTTAAATGGACGTCGATCTGATTATGATCTTGTTTCATGCTTCTCAAACTATGAGTGCATAATCAGTGGAAATCATTCAGCCAGCTACTCACTTTCTGACAACTCAACTTCATCTGTCTCCACCCAGGCCTTCATACAACGTGAAATATCCGGGATGAAAAAGATTTAACGTGCAAAAAGGGTCGTTTATGTTCGTCTAAGGTGGACAATAATCTTTAATAGAGTTCTCATGTCGGCAGTATGATCGTTCTAACGGTTGTAATGCATGACCGTTGAAACAAGCTATTAAACTCGACTATTTCTATTTCATCGAGCCTCAAACGTGTTTCGTTCTGTAATCGATAACGATAGTACTAAAAACACTGCCTTTGAATTTTCAATTGCTCGCGATCACAAATTATCACAAGTAATATTTTAATCTCCGATGATATGTATCAACTATTGGAAAATCGTTTATTTCACTAAGCAGTATCGCATTGGAAGAATTGAGACTTATACATTTCGATATGATCGAGCGATGCGTGTGTAATCAGTTGCTGAATCGTTTCCGTTCGATAATCGAATTTCTATTACCCGTTATGCAATTAAGTTGATGCGATTCTTCAATAAAATGTGTACAAAATACAGTTTTACGTATTACAAGGAGAGAATATAAATGTGGAAGTAGTTTTGTAAAATGAACACATTCTTAAACAATGTCACAGTGGATTTCAAATTATTAAAAACATAGGTTGAAAATCCAAATCTAACATCCTACCAGAGGATTCTTTTTCTGTAAATCTTCAAGGATGTCACGAGATGATTCAGCGATGGATGCATGGAAGAGACATGCCAAAAGTAACTTCTATGTTTATCGCGCCTACTACGGTAACTATATAAATCACTCTCTTTCTGAAAGAAAACCTCCATTTGGCAAGGTTCTGCTTCTGAGACAGCAGAAAGAATGAATGCGAGCGCCGATCGGGGAGATATCGAGCGAACGAAACTTTTGTTCGATGCCAAGTTCTTAACATTATTCCGGAAGAACTAGACTTTCAGTGTGAACAGCATTCTAACATTAGAACACATATTTTCTACTTAATGATGCAGGTTTTTTTGCAAAGAACAAAGATTAAAGAAAACATACTAAAGATTTTATCTGTTTAAATACTAAGTATCGTCAATATGCTGTTGATTTTATGTATTTATTACATTCTCTGCTGTGTAAAGCTTCATTTCATATGTAAACTGAACTCTTCATTATATTATTGATTCTAATAAAATCTTTAACGAAAGAACTGAACATTTATTTGATTCATTTCTGAGAAACAATCTATAAGTGAAGTATCTAAGTGAAATGTGTTATGTAAAACAGAAGATCACAGAAAACATCAGCTTTTACTTGGAACAAGTTGAGAGAAATTCCTGGGTCTCGTTTTCTGCAATTATCGCGTTGGTACCATCTTTGTCAGAACGAATTTCCCCATCGACAAAAGATGAGACGTGTATGGTATTCTAAGAAACCATTGCTACAACTGTGAAGAGCTGCATAGTATTTATAAAATAGTAAATCCACATCTAACATGCACAATTCTTTAGAAATCAGTTTTTTGAAATTTAATGAAACTCATAGCACAGTGTATTTTTTATTTAATCCCACTTTATATAAATTGATCTTAAAAAATCTACATTCCTCGATAAATTCTTACAAGTTCCTCCGTCTATTTCTTGTTCATTCATTTAGAAAATTTAATCATGTACCATAACCAAAAACGTTTCATTAAAAGAAACCAGATTATGTCTTGTTCAAATATTATTCAAAGCTATACATAAAATAAATGTGCCGATAATTAATCAGTTAAGGCTATAAGAACACTATATTGGTATTACAAACGCATATATAAAATATAAACATAAATACTCATGTAAGTATAAATATTTATATTAAACATTTCATATTAAGTATTTCCATTAAAATATTTATATTTATACAACGCTAACTAGCTATTGGTACATTTACCTTACCCTCTTTTGTAATATCGGTGTTAACAGGCGACAGGATTTACAGCGCGAAGGAACAGTTTAACACACTCATTCCCCGACACCGGTGAAAATAATCGGCGCGACAGAGAATTAAGGGAACGTCAACAGATGCACGTGGGTGCATATGTCAAATGTCGAAACGTGTTAGAATGTTTCGTCGTTGGGTTCGACGGTACATGTCGGCGCGGTCCGGAGACGGACCAAGTGGAGCCAACACGCACGTGGACTCGTTCCAAAGTAAAGACGGTCGGCGTTCATCGCGTTCGGATTATTCGCGCGACATTTTACTTTCTCGTTTCGTCCCCTCGCTAAATTTATGCGCCGCGATCATTACTTGCTCTGTGCCGGCTCTATCGACTAATTCACCAACCTCGTTTTCCGCGCTCTGCGCCCAGATTCGCGATCGTCGACTGCGCCTCGCGAAATCGTCATCTTGTTAGTGGCGCACCAGCTGTTACGCTCAACGTTTTACTCTTTCTGTTGCAATTATAAGGAATCGGCGTTGAAGCGTGCCAGTACCGCTGCCTCATTTAATAATGACGCCGATTGTAACACCGGAACAGGTGACGCGTTCACAGTTTATAAACAAGCGGCGCGCCACTCGTAAAAATCCTACAGTTGAGGACGTTTATTCAATGAAGTGGAAAATAAAAGTTTTGATTTAACATAATAGTTATTTTTTTGACGTTCTTAGATTTTATAGATCTCCGAAGCGTTAAATTTATACAGTTGTGATTGATAACAAATATTTTCTGAGTTTGCACTGAGAATTGAGTTATTTGTAATTTTTTAAATAAATTGAAACTTTTATTATACATTTTTGTTTGTATAATATGAAAAGATTTTTTTGTCGAGAACATTGATATATTTTCAGTGGTTACATGAAACTGTTATTATGAAGATGAATTGTTTTTAATTGTTTTTAATATGAAGAAATTTTATAAAAATACTTTTAATAACACAACCACTGTATCAATCAAAATGACTGGTTTCGGTTTTCTTGTTTCGCAATTATTGATGTAGTCAAAGCATTGAATATTCGAAATGATTTTGAAAATAAATAATTTCATTGAAATACTATAATGAATGTGTGAAGGAAGTGAAAATAATCTATTGTTATAATTTTTACAGGGATTACGTGTCAATCATATTGAATTTTAATATTGAATGCTCGGTAGTTCTAATATTAATTACGTAGATATATGAATGTTTTTTAATAACTAGATATTTTTAGTGGAATAATGTTCTATGTGTACATGTAATATAAATCACACAATTTCGCAGCTTCTATAATAAAATATACTGCAGCTCACAAGTTGTCGCATGTTCTGTGGTCAGATGCAAAGCACAGGAAGCAAAAGAAACAGGTTAAAACAAGAGTTTGTTTCGTATGACATATCATTTCAACTTCTTGAAACACTATATGCGTCTATAAATATATTCCTAAGCGGATATACTTCTCGTAGATTTTCTTAAACCTATCAAGAAAAAAATGCATTCAACTCAATCATTTAATAACAATAATTTATCAATTCTTGCATTTAGATATCTATGAAGACCTTATTTGTGATATATAACAAACTTAAATAAACGTTTTTTCGAACAACACAAATTCTCCACGCGAAATCATGTATTATGAACGATTTATGAATTTATAAATAAATGTACTACAGAATTATACAATATCCATTATTTCATAAATTCTCTATTTTTTAATTAATAAATAATTAAACAATAATCTTATCTCTATTGAAAATCAACATTATTATTCCACCAATTCGTTAAGTCTCCTTAATCATATTTCATCTTACCCAAACACAAACATTAAGATGAATACAATCTTCATACCGTCTTTAATTTCGCGCAAACACCTTCAGCAGACGTCGAATTAACACATTCACGTCGAGGCATGTTTCTACATCATAGATCATAATAATAACAATCTTTACAAAACTGACATCAAAATGTAATCTGTTGCCACGTCTCTACTTTTCTAATTTCAGTCGCTAATTACACGAAAATATAAATAAATAGTTTGATAAATAATTAACTTATTAACGTTGACTTATTTTAATTTTATAAATCAACTGTGTACCACCAGTGGTACATACCAGCGTGAACATGTTAATCCGCGCGACGAGCAATTAAAGATTGCAAACTCTGTAAACGTAGGTATCCGTGTCCGCGGGATTCGGTTACAAAATAAACAGGCAAGTAACGAAACTGCTGGTCGCAGTGCGGTGAATGGGCTAATAGCGGCGACGAGAACAGGTATCGTAGGTCGTCGGAAAAAACTCGAATTTCTAGTGAAAACTATATCCATAAAAAGCAGAAGCAAATCGACGGAACCTATCTATAACGGTTGTCCCGCGTCTCGGGACCGTTCTTCCGCATATGAAATGGATTCCGATCGATGGACAGCAGAAAATAGATCATCACGAACAATGTCGGGTGCTATGCCGGGGCAACCTTGGAACAGGAAGCCAGAGGCTGCGGTGCTGTAAAACGTCTTCGGTTACAATCGGCCGCAAATCTCTGTTTATACGTCTGATATCTTGTATCTGATATTAGTTAACGCGTCAACCCGGCTAGATAAATAAATGTTAACGTCACGCAGCCGTGGCACCCGGTAACACGATCGTAGGAGATGCAGAAGCAAAACGAGCGGCCGGCCGTCACGGAAGCACGCGAAACTCTCCCGCCCCGTGTCGCGGACACTCAAAACACTTTACACTTTCCCTACGATTTAGGACAACACTCAAAACCGGCTAAAAGCACGAGATATCGACGCGTTAGCGCTACGACACGTGCTGTACATTTTCGCGCGCGATAAACCGCGCTCGGAACATTATCGCTTGGCTTTTACAGAATTTTCTTCTTTACTTCATTGTTCGAAAGATATAAAGCTTGATTAGTTTTTATAGACGCTGCGAAGAATGTTGTTGGGGTTGGGTATGCTATTATGTCAAGAACAGTGAGAGCATGTTTATACTATATTCATATATATAGAGGACTTATGCTAATTTAGAAGTAACAAGTTTTAAAATGAAGATAATGAATATGAGTAATTGATGGATTTTATTTTTGAACGAGAAAATTATTGGTCTGAGAGGAAGTTGCTAAAAATGGTATGTGATAATTTAAATGTTAATAATGTTAATTATGGTAATATTGTGTTAGCAATCAATTTTAATACATAAGTAATGGATTATTTGAGTTAAAGAACACAATATTATAATAATGAATATTTGCTCTTTATTGTAATAGTTTTCTACAACTAATGATTACTGAAATACAGTTTCTGCAAAACAAAATAGTTTGTCCAGAAACAAAATACAGTATATTCGCAGTGACTACTTCAGTTCGTACATGTTTAACGAGTGACGGATTGAACTTTGGAATTTTCGATGAAAAAATTTATTGTGAAAGAATGGCTGTACGCTTAGCGTCCGATACAATTCGTTAGTAATAAGGTCTTCATTGATGCTTCCTATTAATTGTATTCCATTTAACTGTACGTATTATTCCAGGTTCATTGTACGCCATTCAGTGTCTAAAAAGAGACATAAAAGATCGGTCAAAGTCTCCAATTTACAAAAATAAAATTCAAGAGCTATGCAAAGTAGGGAAAGTTCAACAAATTTTATCTAAATCATTAAGCAGTTCTGATTCACATAAAATTCCTCCAGAAAATTTATATCGATGTGAAAAGCAGGTGACACATTAAATTCGTATTTATAAATTAACATCATATAGGTACTTATAAATTCTATTGAAAATTAAAAAAAGAAAAATAACATAAACATTAAAGATTATATCAAGATTTTCATTTTACCGTGTTATTATTTATGTTCGTATTGTCATTTTACGAATGTATGTCTCTTGTAATAGAATTGAATAACTTACTGTAATTATTAATTCAGCTGTAAATTTTCATGAACATTTAAGCGCAAAAATACAACCAGCGAGAATGCACTGGTGCACAAAGTCCATCGAAATGATCGTCCTCTACGCAATAAAGTACCAGAGCGAGCAAGATGCGACGAATTGAATGATATTCTAGCTAAATGGAACGTGCGCAAACCAAAAACTTAAAATTACTTCATTTATTTCAATTTTCATAGCTAATAACATCGCGCAATGTAAATTTCATGTTAATCTGTGTATCATGTGAATTATTGTAAATGTCTAATCGAAAACCATTTTAAAAACAGATAAAGTATATAAGAGATATAATTTTAATTATTTAGTATTTTAATCTTTATGGATCTCATAACTTAAAATATTAAAAAATTTCCAGCAAGTATGTCAAGATAAGAGATCTGTACCATAATTGAAATGTGTAGTAAGTGTATTTAATTCAAAAGAAATGAAATAAATACATTTTCCAATAAACAATCTGTCTTAATTGTCGGTCCACCCTTAATCCATTAGTTTCTAGGAGTACATAGTCTCTTGGCAATATAACAAAATGCTAAATGAAGATATATTATCATACATAATTTTGATGATGCACAAATTATGTCCGTCACGGTATTCTGCAAAATTGGCAAACGGTACAGAGGATGATCCTCGAGAGTTCTCTAGGTAAATACGATTCTCTTTGTGCCCAGACTATTTTAATGGCAAGTTTTGCGGTCATCACTCAAACCAGCAGTCTACTGTAGCAATGTAGTCATAGTTCAAAGGCGAATTTCGAGAAAATGAAAAAGTTGAAAAAGAAAAGTGGTTCGAGATCTTTTCATATGTAGGTTAATTTGATACTTACAATTGGACAAGTTATATTGATTTTCTATTGTGGATAAGAAAAATGATCCTAAGAAATATATAATAACGCAACATATCTTTTTGGTGACTTTTTTCTTTACTTGTATAATTTCTCAATCGTTTTTAAACATTTGAGTTTGCACTCATTATTTATTCTTTTTAAATTTTCTGATATAATTTCGTTCTGAGGTATAAGAAAATATTAGAAGCAGAGATATAAAAGAAGTAAATATATACGTAGACCAAAAGTAAAAAAGAGTTAAAGCAAAACGCAAAACAGCAGGATACACAAAAACTTTCATGCAACATTCATCAGATCCTCACAGAAAAGCTGCGTCGTCAGACAAGATTCAATATCCGTCTA